TTCTTTCTTTCTTTCTTTCTTTCTTTCTTTCTTTCTTTCTTTCTTTCCTGTGCTTAGCATGCTGAGACAAAATTGCCTTTAGGATTTTCCCACATTTATCTTAAATGGGAGAATAATAATAATAATTGGGGGAAAAAAAAGGATTTTCACGTTTCTCAGTGGCATCATTTCCACATTTCCACTCAAAACCCTAAATCTGATTTAAGAGAACACAATTGCTGGGTTCACATAACATGGTCAGTCCTGACAAACCAGCAAACCATATTATGGTGTAAGGTGATTATACAACATGCTAAGGCAATATATTCCCACGAAATGAGGAAAGTCATTTCCCAAAAGACTGATTTTAACCTAATCTCACATGTTTCTCAGATCCAGCCAGCAAGAAATTTTGGTCAATGCTCTTTGACTTAACTCTCTCTTTTTAAAAATGGGAATAATTCAGCTTTGGAAGGTTGTTCTGAGGGCAAGCAAGTTAAGGTTATTATAGACACCTTGCATTTTGAGAAAGTGCTACATAAAAGTTCATATTCTCACTAGATTGCATTCAGCTCAAAGAGCTTTTTTATTAAGTAGTCCTTGACTTACAACCATTTGTTTATAGCCAGTTCAAAGTTATGACAATCTCAGAAAAAGTAACTTGTCATCCATCCTTCAAAGTTAGGACAGTCACATCACCTCTGCAGTCACGTGATTGTAATTTGGTTGCTTGGCAACCAGCTGGCATTTAGGTTAGTTGCAACATCTTGAGGTCACGTGATCACAATTTGTGATCTCTCCAGCAGGTTTCCGACAAGCAGAATCAATTGGGAAAGCTGGATTCACTTAAAAGACCACAGTAGAAATGACTGCAGAATAGGATCTGGTGACGTGATGACTCATTTAATGACTGCATCGCTTAGGGATTGAAATTCTGGTCCCAATAGTAGTCATAAGTCAAGGAGTACCTACCTAGTAGTTCGTTTTTAATTCTTTGTAATATATTTGTTCAGCTGTTTTCCAGGATATATGCAGATTTTTCCTCACTATAAAGTTCCTATAAAGTTTGGAATTATAATAGTCACAGGAGTTATGTTTCAACTCAGGAAAAAAAAAACCCAAAACACAGTATGGAAAAAACTTTCTTTTTGTGGAGTGCATGTGTGAAAATAATATTTGCACTTAAAATATTCTTCCTGATTAAAACCACATTCCTTTTTGAGACTTCCAAAGGTATAGAAAGAGATTATGGCAGAATTAATTTTCTCTCCTCTGGAAAAAAAGCCACTGGACAGTTAAAATCAATTTGAGATCGTCTGGTTTTCAAAGGCTGAGTTGAGACAGAAGTTGTATTTCTGGCCTTCCCAGAAATGTTCAACAATTCAAACAACCACTTAACAGAGTCAAGAGAATTTGGAAATATAGAAATTCGGGTGGAAGAAACACTTCTAAGGGCTTGTATTAACATATTAAGGCTACAGCCCTGAAGCACCAAGAACAACATTCTGGATAGGAGACATAAGATTTTTTTTTTCCAATTTTTTTTTCCTGAGTTGTGATTTCAGAAAGAAAAATCTGACCTCAGTTCTCCATTTCTGAGCCTTAGGGATTTGCTTTACCTTAAAATTAGGAAAGTATCATAGTGAAAGCTCCAAAACTGATGCTTTTAAAGTTGTAGCAACGTTTCGGCAGAATCTCATCTGCCATCGTCAGGCTTCAGGCTTGAGATTCTGCCGAAACGTTGCTACAACTTTAAAAGCACAACTATAATGACGTGGGAAAATACCCGAACAAAGCTGGATACCATACATATAAATACCCGCGAAAACTTAAGAATTTGTTTTTGTAGATTTTCACAGGTACAGGTATGCAGGTTTTGGTGTGTTCAGGTCTTTTCCCGTGTAAGATTGAGAGTATATGTATGGTATTCAGCTTTGTTCACACGAAAACTTAAGAAAACAAATATATATATATATATATATATATATATATATATATATATATATA